TTTAAATTTCTAAACTTCTTACAATTGAGACATTATGGCTTCCCTTTGAACCAACAGTCATTTTCACCATGATTGCTTCTCTTGCAAATTTTACATCTTCGTAATGAATTTCTTTCATTAAAACTCCTTTCAAAGTTGCTTCTACCTCGACCTTTTGGACTCCTTCCTCTATTACATCTTCTACCTCTATTCATGTATTCATCCCATATTTTCATATTTCAACATTCATAGAACCAACATTGAGCTTAGAATGAAACGTACTCTCAGTTGACTTTTCAGAAAGTAGATTTAATAGTAGCTCGAATGCTTTCAAAGAACCATCAATTTTTCAACCTCCAACTTCTCTAAAACTTTCGTTTCTTCAATCAAAGCCACAAAAGGACCAAATTTTTGGGCAAACTAATTAGAATTTTTTCCGCCATTTTTTTCATTTGAAATCTTCTCATCATATGATTTCATTTGATTTACAAGTTCATTGAATCTATTGGAAAATTCTTTAACACATTCATTATCCTTCATCTTCATAATTTTATTGGCTTTGTTTTCCATCATGATTCTTGAAAAAATTGAATCTACTACAACTCTATGTAGCATTGAAAGAGTATTTGTTTCTCTATATCTAGCTTCCTTGATTTCCTTCTTCTTGGCAAACGATAACCCTTCTTCATTTCCAGGTTCATTGAAGCCATTTTTTACCACATCCCATAGATCCACTGCAAGAGATGAAGTCCTCACCTTCGCACACCAAAAATCATAATTTTGCCCATCAAAAATAGGAACAAATTGACCACTTGTGCTTGCCATCTTCATTTCTACAAAATTTCTCTTTGTCTTTAAACCCCTACTCATAAATTAGAGCTTCAAATGGATGAAAATAACCTATAAAGCTCTGAGACCAAAACTATGTTGGCTCATATTACAGTTTTAGTAAAACTGCACTGGTTTCATGCGTATGAAACTAGGGAAAATTTATAATGCACAGGTCTCATTCGTATGAAATTAGTGGACTTCAATAGGGCGAAAACAGAGATATGAAAAATAGGAGAATACAGAGGAAGACCACTGCAACTAATTTCAATTTATTTAAGACAGAGGAAAAACAGAGAAAGGAGAAGCAACTAGAATATTTCTTACCTCATATGATTTCTGTCACAATTGTATTACACAATTTTGGGCATATGTTTGCAATTTATATAAACTCCAAAACACACTACAAACTACATATCTAGCCCTCATTACACATTAACAGTATTGTTTGCCAAAAATTTCATCTTCAAAAATTGTTGAAATGTAAAATATCTTTAAGGGTATTTATGTCTTTCCATATTTTCAATTAGTTTTTATTTAGTTGAAAGTTCTATAAATAGGGCAGTGATGTTTCCCCTTTCATTCACTCTCGAACTTCAATTGAATCAATTGGAGATATTTGTTTTCCCGCCATTTGTTCTTTCATTAATCTAGATCATTCATCACAAGTTTAATATGGTATCAGAGAAGGCGGTACTCGTCAATTAGGTTCTGGAGTTACTGAATTTTTTTTTTCTCAATCTGATCTATTATTCTTGTTTCGATCAGATGAAGAATGATTCTAGTGTTCAGGCGGAAGTTCAGAGTAAGTTTGATCAGGCGAATGCATTTTCAGAATCGTCTGCTGAAGAGGCAACTGGAGGAGACGCAATTGCTATGGTTAATCGTCTACTGAGCGATCCTAGCAGTCCATTCTATCTTCATTATGGAGATAATACTGGAATGCATCTAATTTCTATTACTCTTACTGAAGAGAACTATGCGACATGGAGTCGAGCAGCAACCATGGCACTTAGTGTCAAAAATAAGGAAGGTTTTATTGATGGAACTATTACAAAACCTTCAGATGATAATCCTTTATTTACTGCCTAGAGGAGATGCAATCATGTTGTATCTTCCTGGATTATCAATTCAATAACTAAGGAGCTTTATCCTAGTGTGATGCATAAGGATTCGGCAAGAGACATTTGGATTGAATTGCATGATAGGTATAGTCAGGGCAATGGACCTAGGATCTATGATTTGAAAAAGCAAATTGCTTTAATTTCTCAATCAAATAACTCAGTAAATTATTACTTCAATAGGCTGAAAGGATTGTGGGAAGAATTAGAAAATTATAGGCCGAGTGGTGAAAGTACTGATTATAAATGTGAGGATCAAATTATGCAATTCCTCATGGTTTGGACGAACACTTTGCTGGTGTTAGAGGTCAGATCCTGTTGATGGACCCCTTACCTTCGTTGAATAAAGTGTTTTCTCTTGTTCTACGAGATGAAAGACAAAAGGACGTTGTTACTGGTAGACAAACCACACAGGATGCTACTGCTTTTGTTAAAAAGTGGTTCAGAAGTCTTTTAATCAAAGGCCTAATTTCATTAATCAAAGAAGGGAGAAACATGTGTACAGTCACTGTGGTTTGCCTGGACATATCAAAGGCAAATGCTATAAAGTGATTAGCTATCCTCCCAATCACAGGAATAGTTATCCTGCTTCTAATTACAGATCTAGTAGGGAAAGGTTTCCAGTGGTTAATACTGTAGGACAAGTTCGTCATGGTCAAACATCCACTGATGAAGTATCAGGAATTGTGAATTCTATTTCACATCTTACTATTACTCCTGATCAGTGCCAGAGGATTTTATCCATGTTGATGCCTCAGTTACAAAATCAGTTTGTTCAAAATCAACAGCCTCAGGACATGAATGTATCCTCACCTACTGATCCTGATGCATATGTTTTCTCAGGTAATCAGAATAAAATTTTATCAGTACAAGATAAGTGGATTTTAGACACTGGTGCTTCCGAGCATATGGTATCTTCTGTAAAACAATTGACTGCGGTTACTGGTGTAGTTGGTGCCTCTATAAGACTGCATAATGGTAATAGTGTTGCTGTTACTCATATTGGAAGCGTGATGTTATCTCTTACATTATGCCTCAGCAATGTGCTTGTTGTGCCTTCTTTCAAATTCAATTGAATTTATGTTAGCAAGTTGACCCAGGAACATAAATGCTGCCTAATGTTTTTCCATGATTCTTGTTTTATTCAGGATCTTTCAACTTGGAAGATGATTGGAGTAGGCATCCGATCTGATAATGGTTTGGAGTTCAAAATGCCTGAATTCTACCTCTTTAAAGGTATTATTCATCAACTGAGTTGTGTTGAAATACCCCAACAAAATGGGGTGGTTGAAAGAAAACATCAACACTTGCTCAACATAGCTCGAGCTCTCAGATTTCAAGCCAACTTACCGAAACAATTCTGGGGAGATTGTATCCTCACAGCCACACACATCATCAACAGAACACCTACCATCCAGCTTCAGAATATTTTCCCATATGAAAAGATGTTTCAAGTGGTACCTTCTTATAACCATCTCAAGGTTTTTGGATCACTTTGTTATGCTTCCACTCTCAAACGGAACAGAACCAAGTTTGATCCAAGAGCTGTTCCTTGTGTTTTTCTTGGCTATCCTTTTGGCATGAAAGCCTATAAACTCTTTAATCTCCAGACCAATGTTGTATTCATCTCACGAGATGTCTCTTTCTTTGAGAATATTTTTCCCTTTCATCACCCGACTTTTCTTGCCTTCTTATCCAAATCAAATTCTACCACTTCCATTCATTTTTCCCTGTTTCCTGCTTGTTCTCAGCCACATGTTGATGTTCCTCCTCCCAACTTTACTTTCACTATCACCAATCCACTTGCACATCAAAATTCTCAGCCACATGTTGATATTGACGCTCACTCCTCTGATGATTTCATTCAACCATCCTTATCTCTGAATATCCCCAACAACACACCTGCCACTCATACTTCATCTCAGCCTGTTATTACCAAAAAATCTATTAGACCTAAACGTGCTCCTTCTTACTTAAAGGACTATCATTTTAGTCTCATTCCTCATGTGCCTATCTCTACTTCAGATTCCATGAAGGAAGGTTTTGAGTCTAACAAGAGGTATCCCATTGAGGCATATCTAGGGTATGATATGCTGTCTTCTACTCACAGGAGTTATGCCTTGGCTCTATCTATTGCTTTTGAGCCTCGGACTTACACTGAGGCATCACAATATCCGGCTTGGATTGAAGTGATGGATACTGAATATAATGCCTTAATATCCAATAATACCTGGGATATCACTAAGCTTCCTGATCATAAAACCCCTATTGACTGTAAATGGGTTTTCAAGGTTAAGATGAAATCTGATGGTACTGAAGAGAGAAAGAAGGCGTGTTTGGTTGCCAAAGGCTTTACCCAATAGGCTGGGTTGGACTATGAAGAAACATTTTCTCCTGTTGCCAAATTAGTGACTGTGAAAACCTTTTTGGCAGTGGCTGCTTCCAGAAATTGGCATCTTCATCAGTTAGATATTAATAATGCCTTTTTACATCGAGAGTTAAATGAGGAGGTCTATATGCGTATGTTCCCAGGTTATGAGCAGCAGGGGGAGCAAGGAAAGCAGTTGGTTTGCAAGCTTAACAAGTCGATTTATGGTTTGAAGCAAGCTTCAAGGTAATGAAACATGAAACTGACTTCTTACATTCTGTCACAAGGTTTCAAGCAGTCCAGGTCTGATCATTACTTGTTTAGCAGGGTCAATGGCTGCTCATTTACAGTTCTTTTGATATACGTTGATGATATAATAATTAGGGGAAATGATTTATCCCACATCAACCAGTTTAAGGATGAACTGAATCAGAAGTTCAAGCTGAAGGATTTAGGAATTCTAAAATATTTTCTGGGACTTGAGGTTGCACGAAGCTCAACAGGGATAAGCGTTTGTCAAAGAAAGTATACTTTAGATATATTGACAGATGCTGGCTACCTTGGAGCAAGGCCTTCAAATAGTCCTTTGCCTTGCAATTTGAAGTTGAAGAAAGATGAGGGAGATGTCATAGCTGATCCAAGTATTTACAGGAGGCTGATTGGGAGAATTCTATATCTCACCATAACCAGGCCAGATTTGTCGTATGCTGTTCAAGTTTTGAGCCAGTTTCTTCAGTCACCAAGACAACCACATCTAAAGGTAGCACATCATGTTTTAAGGTACCTGAAAGGCACACCAGGGCAGGGTCTGTTCTTCTCCAGGAAATCTGATCTTCTGCTTAAAGGTTTCTGTGATGCTGACTGGGTAGCATGTTCTGATACAAGGAGGTCGATTACTGGCTATTGCATTTTCTTGGGAGATTTATTGGTGTCGTGGAAGTCTAAAAAGCAGCATACTGTTGCCAGATCTTCGGCAAAAGCTGAGTATAGGTCAATGGTAGCTGCAGTTTGTGAATTTGTCTGGCTGAAAAATATTTTGAACGATTTGACTGTGGTTCATTCCATGCCTGCTTTGCTGTTTTGCGATAATCAGGCTGCAATACATATCGCAAGCAACCCCGACTTTCACGAAAGGACCAAACATATAGAAATTGATTGTCACTTGGTAAGGGATAGAGTTCAAGCTAATAAGGTGAAGATGCTACATACCACTTCTCAACAGCAGCTGGCAGATTTGCTCATTAAACCATTGGCTGGAAATCGATTCACTACTTTACTCAGCAAGATGGGAGTGTTAAATATACACTTGCCATCTTGAGGGGGAGTGTTGAAATGTAAAATATCTTTAAGGGTATTTATGTCTTTCCATATTTTCAATTAGTTTTTATTTAGTTGAAAGTTCTATAAATAGGGCAGTGATGTTTCCCCTTTCATTCACTCTCGAATTTCAATTGAATCAATTGGAGATATTTGTTTTCCCGCCCTTTGTTCCTTCATTAATCTAGATCATTCCGGTCAAAAAAGAAAATTTTGTAAAATTTATCAAAGATGGCTTTAAATTAAAAGGCCAATCATTTGCATTGTTGAATCTAATTGTGAGGTGAATAATTCCCAAAATCAAAATTTAAATGATGTAAAATTGCAGTATATGTGAATTAGTCAAACAAAGAGGATGTCACAAACATTTTTCAAAAGAGTGATGCTATTCATTTTCACTGGTGTTAAGCACTAGTTTAGATGGAAATTGCATGACATTTAATGATAAATTTATTTAAATACAAAGTCATGTGACTTATTTAATTAACCCTATAAAGTGTAGTCACTTAAACTGGTATTTGATAACATTATTCTTTCTAAAAGATAAGGTCCTTCATAGTAGCCATGGAAAGACAGTTTTGAAAACATAAGCAATTGAAGATTACCAATTAAGTGGGGATGTTAAAAGTCCAAGTAATTTCCAATCTTCGATAGCGTGGAAAATTATTGAAGACCACAATATTAAAGAGGATTTTGGAAGTAGTGTTGACCATTTAAAATTGGAGTGTTGACCATTGAAAGATGAAGTATTTGCATTCGAAACTTATTGATCCTAAAAAGTTGAAGTCGAGTCAACAAGTCTCTAGCCACCTTTTTAAGCCCCATTTCAATGTCTGAAGCTTTGAAGAGCTGTTTTACAATGGTAATTGCCGTCAAATAAGTACTTACATAAAGATCAAGAATTTGATTGGCATTTCTAATATGCATAGCACAGTTTATGGTTGCTTGTATAAACAAGTGAGTCGTGCTACATGTACATAACAATTTACATAATGTTTTAGCAACAAATAATGTGGTAAGATTTAATTGGATCAACATCACATCTGAAAGTTTAAAATCTAACGTATAATTTGATCTAACGTGTGGAGTTACACAATCAAAAGCAAAAAGTCATTTTTAATTGTTTTTAAATAATTAGGTGAACCAAGTCAATTTTAACATAAGTTTGAATACTACAATTTGTAAATTACATAAAGTAAATGACACCAATATGATCACGGAGAAAACCATTCGCAAAGGATCAAAAACTCGAGACACTTTGCTAGTCAATAATCTACTATAAATGATGAGAGTTATAGTATGGTCCAACCCGACTAACCCTTAGTCCTCTTTGACCTTCTTCCTGTAATCACCTTGGCCCTCCTAGACTGCATGCTCCTTACACCAAATTCCAACTCCTGGTATCGTTTATTTCTTACGGACCTCCAAGAACGAACCTCGTTCATGAGTTCCTACTCCAAGAGCTTCTTCCCAAAGCTCCAGCAACTCTGAAAGCTAAATTGGTGAAATTGGGTTTGGTGTTTAATCAACGATCTCATGTGTTTTGCTCTGTGGTTGGATGTGGACGTATAGAGCTCGATCAACAAAAAAACGTTTGGTTTAATTTATGGATCAAATAATCAATGATGGTTGAATTTAGAAATCAAGGAATGTTTTGTGTCTTCGAATGAATGATCTCTATGGAATAAATATGATTTAACACACTTTTGGGACAATCTAGGCTTTGGTATATATATATAATAGGTAGTGTTCGGGGTGTAATATGATTAAAAATCAGCATTAAAAGTGAAACAGGATTCTGTATTGTTGAACCACCACTCAAGCACCAAGCCAGTGCCAAGCGAGTGACAGTTGAGCAATCGTCAATAATTTCATCATAATTTTCTCTCCCGATATTATATTGAAGTGATTCAAAGTGCGTTAGAAAGATAACTCAAATAGATACAATTTTTCTGGAATAGCATTCTCCTAATTCGAATGTTTTCTATGTGAAAAATGTGTCGCAACTTGTTGCTAAGAATTTGGAGCAAAACTTGTTCAACACTTTGACATTCCATTGACTTCTAATTGCATGCAATTGATCAAATGTGATCGTTTTGGACACAATTGACTCCTCGAAGGACTATACTATGAACCCCAAACTATTTTTACTATATTTATGACTCAATAACTCATATTTTAAATTTGATTACAACTCGATAAATTCCTAATACAATTCAACTAAAACATGTTTTTTATTAAGGAAATTGCCAATTACAAATTTGAAAATTGCTAAAAATTTGGACCTAAGAATCTTTCTTTTGGCATTCCATGATAAAATCATTTATTTCAAAATCAAAATCAAATAAAAAACTACCCAAAGACTTAATGTCCAATATATATTTCAACCTCTAGTTAACTTGTTTCCTAAAATACGTGAAAACAGCACTACCATGTGAAAAGCCACAGGAAATTGACAAGGAAAAAAGTAGACCTAGTAACTCTAATATTGATATTAGCTAAACACCAAATCAAACAAAATATCAATATGGGGAAAAAAAAAAATTGCTAGATCAATAATTCATAATACTCAACGTCTCCCCCTAAATCTTATCCAATCATCAAATCAAATAAGATTTTAGCTCATATACTCTACTCTGAAGTAATTTACTAATCTCTCCCCCTTTTGTCATGAATAACAAAGGAAAAATAATAGTACAAAATGAATACCACAGACAGTAATAAGTGAAAGCAAATATGTACATGTATGCAAAACATATGATGGGAGAAAAAGTTTTCTTATTTTTGAGATAACCATTTTTATGGATTTTTAAATATAATATCATGAAAAGTTAATTTGCTTACTTCTACAAGTATAATTCATAAAAAGTAAACTTTTTCCGCATAACTTATTTTAAACTTATATGGAGTAAATTGTATAAACTATTCATATGTGAAAAGTGCAATTAAACTCATGTAAGCAAAGTCTCAAACATCATATTTTTGAGAAATTACATGCAAAGAATAATTGATGAATGAATATATTCTTCAAATCATGAAAGTCAAATCTAATGCTACTAGGACCTTTTAAATTTAAAGTTCATATTTGATTTTGTATATATATTTTTTCTCCCCCTATTTGTGAGCACATATTTATTTTTATTTTCTTTTTCTTTTATTTTCTTTTTTATATGTAGACTTCTCTCTATTAAACTTTCTGTAAGATCCATGTAACGAGCTTTAGATCGATAACTCTCAAATCAAATGATCATAAGGCAACAGGTTTTAAGATATCCTAACAGGCTTAGTTGTTCAAGTCATAAAGGCTGCGAATAAAAGTATAGAATTTAACTCACATTTTTATATAATATTCTTTTTTTCTTTTCAAGCTCAATAATATTTTTTCCTTTTAGGGTAGTGTACAAGAGTTTAGGTCAACTAATTTAAAGGTTATTCCATATTTAAAGTCAACCCACTACACAAGTGACCGTTATTCCAAATCTCACACACGTGGTCAAAACTCGCTCATAAGAGTTTAATGCGTGCAGTGCATAATATACATGAAATAACCTATATCAAGGTCCACAAGTAAGTTCTAAATAAAGTTAATGAAAACTTTATTCACTATTTATTAATTATATAAGTACTAATCACAAAGTAACATGTCCAAAAATATTATTTAAAAAAAAAAATATTTTTCCTCTTTCATTTTAAAATTTTATTTTTCAAGATAATAAATAAAATGCAGAACAAATAAAGAAAATTTTAAAGTGCATGCACGAATATGTAGATACCATGAATAATGCATATGCATGCACCTAACTACATACTCAATGAGACACAAAAACGCTATTCCCATGAAGAGCAACGCGAACAACACCGTAATGTAAATCATCACTTTGACCTATGAGTTCACTATTTTTGACCCAAATCTTCTCATAAGAAGATGTAATCTTAGTCAATTGAGGAATCAACCCAGTCAAGTGACTCACTTGCTTCGTCAAGAATCTAACATGACTAGATAGATGTTGTTTATTTTTCCTAATCAAAGGCTTATGGCATTTTGATATAATATGGCCCAATTCACCACAATTATGACATGTGGGAATGATTTTAGGAGCAATCCTAGGTTTTAAGTTCTGAACCTTAGGTTGGGGAAACATATTTTGAACAATTGATCTAGGACATTGGACTCCTACACTTTCAGTCTTGTTCCTACTTAAAAGTCGGCGACATTAAGTCTTATATGTTCTAATTTACCACAATGGTGACACGTGGGTACGAATTTAGGACAAACTCTAGGTTTCGAGTTTTGAACCTTATGATTGATCGGGAAGTTACCAACTTATTTTTAGAAGGGAAAGCGACATTTGATTTAATTTTATTAAAGTCTACACCTCCTCTACTCCTAGTTGGTTTGTTCAGACCACTCATATTATCAATTTTCTTAGATCCACTTAAAAAATCTTAGAGTTGGGTATTTGACTTCTGCAGATCACTCATATAGGAGATTTAATCTTAACATCCAATGGCTTTTTCTCAACCCTTAACTCATTGAAACTTCTAGTGCATTTCTCAAGTTCGGCTACAAGGCTCTCATTTTCTAATTCAAGATTTTTCAATTTTTTAAAGGCAGAGCTATTCGTTTTTTTTTTTTCAATTTAAGGTACTCTTCAAACTACTGGTCATAAGCCTCTCGAATATCGATATCACACTCAGATCTCGAATTAGAATGCGATTGACTCATCTAGACAAAATTTTAGGCTGAGGATCAGTATTAAGCTATGATACCACTTGAAATTTTAAAATTTACCGAATATTTAGACTCAACGTTCGAAATTACACAATTAAAAGTAACAAGTCACTTTTTAATTTTTTTTAAATGATTAGGTCAACTAAGTCAATTTTGTCCTAAGTTTGAATACCACTGTTTGTAAATTACATAAAGCAAATAACACCAATATGATCACAAAGAAAACCCTTTGCAAAAGGATCAAAAACTTCAAATACTTTGTCAATCAA